AGAAAAACAGAAGATAATCATAGCTTTTTATTTCCAAGATATCGTGTTCACAGTATTTTTCAGCAGTTTTGAGTGTTGAAAAGACTGGAGTTGCAATAGTTAAGACATAAAGAAAATATTTATTATGAAAACCTCAACATGAATCAGACAAATAGCTGTTATTATGCCCACACTCCAGAGAGGAAAGGGATTCAAGTGTTGCCAAAAACACTGAGAAAATAAAGGGTTTAGCTAAAACATAGGGACTGCTAGAATTTACATAATTAATTCCATATTTAAACACCTGTATTGTTTTTTCTTCTTTTGGTTGCTTGGGGTTTTTTATTATTTTATTTTTCTATAATATAAATGGTCCAGACACCAACAGAGACATAAAGAAATTCTTTCCTGTTAGGGTGGTGAGGCACTGGAATGGGTTGCCCAGGGAGGTTGTGAATGCTCCATCCCTGGCAGTGTTCAAGACCAGGTTGGACAGAGCCTTGGGTGATATGGTTTAGTGTGAGGTGTTCCTGCCCATGGCAGAGGGGTTGGAACTAGATGATCTTAAGGTCCTTTTGCAACCCTAACTATTCTATGATTCTATGATTCTATGACTCAATCAATGCTTACTATACTCAGCAGAAAGCGCAGACTCAGATATGATGGTACACATAGGCACCTTTCAGTTGTACTTATTTATCCATGGATTTTTGGGGAGTTTGTTTGTTTGTTTTCTAGCTTGTTCCAATTCTGAGTTTGATTTGGTTCGATTAAATAAAATATTCTTGTGAAAACATGATTTTTGTTTGACCAGGTCTTCACAGAGTTATTTATTGGACCAAAATTGTGTGAACATCACTCCTACTCTCTTTCATTTCCTTGATTCTGGAACGAACCACACAAACACACAACTCTGTGAATTGCTCTCAAAAGACATTAAAAAGCTTAGAAAACTGTAAATGACTGTTTACAAAGAGAGGAGATCATCTCAGATGGGGATACCAAGTATTAAACGTCACAGCTGAAACAGCAACACTAACACTTGGACCAGCATGCAATCAGTGTTTGCATTTTAAAACTTCCCTTCAAAACTCCAGCAGTAAAAAGCAAGTGGTAACTTTTAGTGACCTTCAGCAGTAGCACTCCTATCTTTAGGGAATTGAGATTGATTTTCCACAGCCAGCAGTGCAAAGACCTTTTACCTGGGAGCGTACAATGGTATGGAGGTCAGAGGATTTGAAGGCAGCAACTTTTACAGGGTTAGACTTCAGCTATGTGGTGTTTACAGCTACCAATTAATGACTGCCATTTTAAACCCTGGAGTCACCTGCAATTTCAAAACAGATTAAGCAAAGTTCTCAGGGGAGCAATTCTCTCAAGTGAAGTATCAGACTCAAAAGAGTCTGGAAGGAGGCAATATATATATCAAAGCTAATAATGAATTACCAGTGCACTTAGTGCTGGATCTGAAGTCTTCGCACGGTACAGCCAAAGTATGTGCTGTTCTCTGTTCATAATAGTGATACTTCTTGAGGATAGTGGGCTAATGCAAAGGAAGAAACAAAGTTGAACTGTCTGATCCATGGATTTTCAGGTTAGGGACAGCTGTATGTCTTTTTTTAAGAATAATTTAGGGTCCCATTTCTCTTTTTTTCTCAGAGTCCCACACTGTCTGAAGCAATCTTGCTCTTAGGTAGACAGTTTAATAATGCTATGTACTTCCACTCCATCACCATTTTCCCCAAATATCTTTGAAATTCTGAGCCTGTTCTAATGTAAAACTAGATTATCATTCCATCAGAAAAGAACAAGAGCAGAAGGAAAGTCTTACATTGCTGTATAAACCCATGAAGAGGAAATGCTGCTCATACAGAATATAATGAAATATCGAAGAAGACACAGAAGCAGTTTACTACAGTAATGCCCCTGTCTTGAAGCATAAACCTTTGGCTTTGATATAATGCACTTAGGAAATTTAGTCTTTCCTTCACCTGCTTTCATCCTGTGCTGCACAGCAGGCTACCTGAAGGGGTGCATTGCCTTTGATTGGAAAGTAATTTATTGTATTCATGCTACCATATGATCTAAACTACTGTAGATGCAGTGGTTATGTGACTGAATATAAATGAATGAATTAATTTACATGTGACACTTGTCTTCTGTAATTTTGTGAAGGGGGTCTAACTTAATGTGTTTAACAATCTCCTGAAGATGTTGCACTAAGGTATTCAGCCCAAGTGATTGACTGCACAGTAAATCCTTTGAATTCAAAAATGTTAAAGTGGCACACAAATCCATGCAGATATATTTTTTAAAACTAGTTTGCCAGCAGGAAAACCCATGCAAATGGAGAGGCTGAGAGCTGCTAATTATTTGAACCACTTAAATAGGGGGAAGTGTTGGGCTGTGTATTTAACAGTTTTGCATTGTGTTAATCTCTGCTGGCAGCAGAGTCAATAAAAGCTCTACAGGGAGTCTGAGCACAACGTGATTTTTCTAGCCAGATAAATCTTCCCCATCCCCACTATCCTTATTTTCCTCCTGACAATGCATTTAACAATCAGAATAAATGTGTAATTGAGATCTATGCTGCAGAGTGAATTTGATCTGAAAACATTATGCGGGAAACAGCCACAAGAGAAGGTTCAAGTTCTGTATGAGTTGTATGCAGTTCTCATTGCTCTGGGAGAAGGCATTCTCATCTAGAAAGCAGGAATGTGCATCAGTCAGGAAACTGTTTGACTTCCAAATGCATTTCTGATTCCAGTCCAGTAGCTGCAAGGCTTTCCTGAAGAAAAAAAGAAATCCAATTGCTAACAGCTGTGGTATTATCTCAGGTGTTTATTGCCTGTGTTCATCCTAATTGGAAACAAGAACAACAAACCCTGATCACAGATATCACTTTGGATGAAAAGTGGAAATGAAATGGCAGAAACAAGAGGGAAAATAGACTGGATGAAAAATAGCAATTTCCTAATAGCATCTTTCCATGTAGGCTGCCAAATCTTGCCCCAGAGGCACTTGCTAAGATGATGACTATAAGACTATAAACCAAAACAGGCCTTCCTGAATCACTCAGTCTCTTGATGTTACATTCAGCCATATTTAGAATCTTGTTACAAGTTTCTTCTCATTATCTTTAACAAAATCTACCTTAAACAGAGTTGGGTTTCTCTCCCCAGTTTGAGGAGCTTTGGAAAGCAAAATGTGAGCATGAACTTTCAGCACGTATGAAATTCTACCTAGTAGAAATCCAGGTAGTGTGTCTTAGCCATGCATGCTGAGACAGTTATATCTGTCTGGCCTGTAGTCTGTGCTCTGGTTTCCCACTAAATTTGAAATCACTTTTGAGGTCTCTGCATATTTCCAGGACAATGGCCTGAGCTCATAATGTGTACATAACAAACAAACAAAACAAAACAAAACAACCAACCAGAAAAAGGCCATGTATAAGCCTCACAATAGAAGTCAGAATAAAGCATTTGTTAGTAATTGTGCTCATCTGGTACTATTAGGACTCTATAATCAGGTTAAAGTTCAGACATGCCAGAGACTGTTTTGGCATCTGTCCTAAGACTTAAATTCTTTTGATTTTGTTCTAATATACATAAGTAAATGAGAACCTGCACATTAAAAGTGCAGACAAAAACCAAATGTTAAGAATTACTCAGAAAGCAACACAAAGCAAGCTGACTTTGAATAAAACTGTATTTCAACCATATCTAGACTGCTGGGTGCAGTTCTGGTTCCTACAGCCCAAAAGGGTGCTGCAGAAATATTAGAGATTCAGACAACAACCTGGATGATGTGCACTGTGATACTCTAGGGGACAAACCAAAGTTCTGCCTGTTGGCTGAAGAGCTGTCTGTCCAGTGGGCGACTGATCCTGGGCAGCACAGCAGCACTTTTAATCATCCAAAATGCCCTCAGAAGATGGATTCTTCTGCTTTGGAAGACTCCTTATCAATCAGGTTACTGCCCAGAAAAAAAAAAAGTTGTTTTTTTTTTTTTTTTTCTTCTCTGCAGGCTGTGGGGGTTTGAATTCCTAGTTCTTGGTTGTTCGCTTCCATTCCTTTCCCTTCCTTTCCCTTCCCTGGGAAGACAGAGAGTTATTTCATCAGTATTACAGAGGGAATGTCTATATTTTTTGGTAAAATGGGAAGGTCTGTTCTTCTGTGTCTGCTTTTTGGAAATACTGCAAGTAGTAGGAAAAAGGTGCAAGTAGAGAGAAGTGAGTACGAAGGAATAAGTCGTGCTGCTCAGCAGAGGCAGAGGTCCTTTTCCTTGTGGGAAATAGGAATTCTTGTTATAAACTAGGTCTCTCACAAGTATTGTCCAGTCATACTCTACTCACCTGCTTTTGATTTCTTTAGTTGGATTAATTACCATGTACAAGAGTCAAGAATCAGATCTGGTCTGTACATCCCCCCCTTTCAGCTGCCTGGCCCCCATTCTATTTCCAAGGTTCCTTGTAAGAAAGTCCTGTCAAAAGCACAGGTCTGCATCAAAGGTAACAATATTTTGGTGCACTAGCTGCAATGCTGCACTGCAAGCTATCTCATTTGGTGAAATTACAGTACAATTAATTGCTACATTAAAATTGAATTTGCATAAGGGTACTTATGACATTCCCATTAAAATCACATTAGTTCATCATGATTAACACTCTTTCACTGAGCACAGAGCAAATTAAACTATGGATGTTTTGTTATACCTGTGCCCAGAAAAGCAACTTCCTGAAGTAGATAGGGAACATGCATTGTTTCTGTCATAAGATGACTATTCAGCATGTGTTTCAAACCAGAGCAGGTGAAAAGTGGATAGGCTCTCTGCAAATAAAAACAGAAGAAATTTATAATTCACAAGAATGGCGAAGTGACTCAAAACCACACTTTCTTTTTCTATGATCAAAAGAGTAAAAGCCAGGACCATTTCCAAAAATAATTTAATGAGGTTTTTTTTGTTGTTTTTTTTTTTTTAAACAGTGGGGCTAATTATGTTGAATTTGCTAAAAGTCTTACTTTCAGGCCAATGACAGCAGAGATCAATGGATGCTGAACACACAAATCCTTCACTTCTTCAGCCAATGTTTAGCTGTGATTCACTGGTGTGATAGTTTTGACTAAGCTTTGCAGAATGCAACTCCTGAAATCAAGAGGAAATGCAAAAATACATAAATCCTTTGCTAGTATCAATTCCCACAGAGCACAAGTGGCCCCAGCCTGTAGGGAGGAAATGGGATGGGATGGGATGGGATGGGATGGAAGGGGAGGGGAGGGGAGGAGAAGAGGAGGAAATGAAGGGAGAGGAAGGCAAGGCAAGGAAATATTGCTGTGATATTAAGAATTACTTGTACAGGAAGGATTCTTCCCAGTACAAGAGAGACATGGACATCCTGGGGTGAGTCCAATAAAGGGCCATAAAGCTGATTTATGGCTTGGAGTATCTGTCTTAAAAGGAGAGGCTAAGGGAGCTTAGACTGTTTCACCAGAGGAAGAGAATAGAGAGCAGGAGAACTTATTGCTGTCTCTGTAGCCACACAGCTGCTGTGAGGCTACTGAGAGGATGGAGAAAGGCTATTCTCAGATAAGCATGGCATTTCATGCTTCAGATAGACATTAACAGGTTAAGCCTCAGCCAAAACTGACCCCGAAAGAGCACAGAAAGCCTCTACTAGCAACTAGCCATCCCAGAAGCCCATCATCCTCTATAGAAAATGTTTCTTTGATGCCATTCCTTTGCTGAAATAACTTTGAAGAAAGATAATGTTGACTCAGTAACTACTTGGTGAAAAAACGCTCAAGGCTACTGGTGAGAAAATGATGTTTCCTATCTGAGCTATAGTGTTTTCTGTCCAAACCAAAACCTTAAAATTAGTTAAAAGAAAAAAAAAACAACAAAAAACAAAACCCTCACTATGAGGATCTCTACAGCTCAATACTCTATGAAATCAATAACTTTTGATAAAGGTCAGCTTGTTCAGCTCCAGATTTTTTTAGTTACCTTAATATTTCCTTACACATATACTCTACAGTAGATTTTTGAGCTGCTCAGCAATTGCAATTCTGAAGAACAACTTCCGAAACCTGGAACAGAATATATTTTGATTAACATGTTGACATGCTGACAAGACCAAAGAAGTAGACAAGATATTCATAGATGCTACACAAACCCATTGCAAAAATGCAAATGGCAACAGTAGAATAAAAAGCAAGTTTAAACTTCTTCCTGGTCATATTTTGAGCTATAATGCTGGGGGAATCAATCTCAATTTATTCATAGCAGGTATGAATAATTTGCACTGGTTCTTTGTATGGAATCAATTTTACCTTCTGTCTTCTTCAGTGCTGAAACTCATCATGTTGGCTTATAACTGTCACACAGTTGAAGAAATAATAAAGAGAACCACTTGCAAATGACCCATAACATAAAATATGTTTGGAAAATAATCATCAACTTAGGGAAACACCTTAATAAAAATATATTTATTTTTGTAGAATTTATGAACACAAAGTGAAACCTGTATTCCTGAAATAAAAAAATCCATTTTTTTTGAAAAAATAACCACTATTTTTAAGGTTATGAACTTGGGCAAATGATTACCATATACTTCTTAATTTTCTCAAAAGCCTTCTTTGAACCTGGAGTTTCCTGTATGTATCTCTGACAAGACAAGAATAAATCTTTTCAAGGTCATTAAATAGTAAAATAAAGCCTTTGTGATTTGCTATTGCTCTTTGCTTAATTAAATAGTAACGTTTTCTATTCATATAGACCACTTTTAAAGAGATTAGACTTTCTATGCATGATGCATTTGTTTCACAATAAAATGTAAAAGCTTTAGATCAGTTAAATTCCCCTCTATGTTAATACCCTTTTGAGTCATCAGTAAATTCAAAAGTCCTCCAGGCTGCTATTGTCTCTTTTCTACAATTTCACTAAAACTTGGTATACATAATTTATATATAATGTAACAATATATTGGATATACATAATACAGAAGATGTTTTCCTTTATGCTTTTCTTGGGGAGTTATTCTTGTGTACAGTAAATGAGAGTGGTTTTGTTAACTATGTCCTTGTGAATTTGCTCATTCTCTTCCTTTGGATCACTGTGTAGTTTGAAAGCAGTTTCAGAATTTCAGTGCAAATTGTAAAAGCTGTTTTATTTATTCATCATAATAAAATTACATCTGAAAAAAATCTACAAACTGATTCATTTCCCATTTAAAAGATGACAACTTCTATTAATATTTCTGAAGGTATTTTGAACATTTTTCTCCATGTATTCATGGAAAACTAGCAGATATTTTTCCCTAGTAATACCAAGTGTTTGTTACTGTACAGCTATATTGTCAAGCAATATTCAGCCTTTATTTCACCTTACGTAGCAATGCATTCCTAAATGATTGGATGGACTCCATGTGCTTCTTTGGGAAGCTTGTGTGTAGATAGTGGAAGCACAGTTGTTCAGGACAGATTTTTAAGGACAAGCTAAGGACTTTTTTAGCTGAAAGTTTATTAGCCAGTCCTTTTGTACTGGTAGCTACTAATAGGAAACAGTGACATGCACTGGGGAGGGAAAACTTCCATTTCTTGGGATTAGCACTTATTGCTGGGTAAGGAAATGGTGCAAAGCAAAAGGTGCAGGTGAAGATCAACTCAAAGTCTGGAGAGTGCTGCAAACTGTGATTAGTGTGCCTAAGTCTGCATGGGTGCATAAGCATCCATGAGATGACTTAACTTTCTTCCCACCACCCCCTGTATTATACATTGGCCAGTACAGCTAACATGAAGACAGATTAACAGGGAGTTTCCAAATCACCTGCAAAGAGATGGCAAAGTGTAGTGTGGTCTTCAGTTTTCTGCTCACAGGAGCAGGTCTATCTCTGATACTTTCTACGCTGCTTGCCTCTTCAATTATGAGGCAAAACTGTGACGACCATTACAATATGACAACTATCCAGTGAAATTACCATTTATTCCAAAGGCACAGCTGATATTTAAGTGTCAGACTTTGAAATTCACCAGGAAAACAAATGTATAACTGGTTTGTGTGACTGAAAATATCCCCACAGAAAAGGTATTATATCATCCAAAAATATTGTGGCTCTATAACACTTGCTGCTGGATTTTGTTATAAACTGGGGTATAGTTACTGCAACAGGGTTGTCACATTATTCTTTCTTCCCTACCAAACGTGCCATCAGAAAAACAGTCTAACAGATAGAGAATTGTCTCGCCAACATCTACAAGGATCAGAGTGATAATATGCTACAAACAACCAGAGTGAAAGAAATGTATTTGACTGCTCATTATATTAGCTTCCCTGTTAGAAATATACCTCAGCTCTTAAAGAATCCCCCAATGTATTCATGATTGACATGTATGACATGGTATCAGTCTATTCTCCATAGCACAGTATATTTCTTGACAGCTAATGTGCTTTGCTGCACTGTTATTAGCTGTCTTGCTGCAATGCAGTGTTACACAGAATGCGACTCTGCCCGGTTCAGCCTCTGAATTTGCAGAGTAAATGCTGATTATCATTAACATGATTTTCTAGTACAAGCCACAGCAGCAGTCATATAGTTAATGAAAGCTGTGATTGTCAGCCAAGCTGCATACTGAGCACAATTATTTGAGCCATTAATTGGAGTATAGCATTTCCTCTTGAGATAAAGATTAAAATTTATGCTGATAGATAACTTTAGAGTATGATTGAAAACAGAGATTTTTAAATGCATATGCAAGTCACACCTTTGAGGAGAAGTTGCTGATAATCCTGACAGTTTATCACTGCTGTAATAAGGAGAAATAAAAGCAGAGTTGATGTAAAATAGCAGCATCCAATAGACTGAAAACCAACGCCGTGTTTTCTAGGCAGCTTCTGCAAAATTTCTGCTGCTGTCCACCTGCAGATGGTCTGAGCACCTTTTATGTAAAATCAGCAGGCATAATGAGGTGTTATTAGACACTCAGCAGGAGCCTCTGTCCTTATTTTTCAAAGGAAAAGCTCCACTTGCTGGGCTGATGAAGCATTAGAGTACATTGGCCCAGAGTTTCAGAGGTGCTCAGATAACTAACAAGTATTGATTTCTATGAGCGCTATGCATTTAGACACCAAGATACTAGATCACTGTCACTATACAATCTCTCTGTCTGTAAGGTTTGTATACTGCCATCTAATGATGAATCTGATCATGCCTGTCATGGTAACTTTAGTACCATGAGCTAACATTTTATGTCTACATAAGCTTCATCCCCATCAGCCACAGGTGCGAAGCAGCCCCTGCCTCTCTATGAAAGATTGGCAAAACCCAAGAATGTCACAATTTGCATTTGCCAGCTTGCCCTGCTCTTGACCAGCTGTGAGTTTGGCTGTGTTGGTGCAAGTTCAGGCAGTGGAAGCCTTATCTGTGCCAGCAGCTCTCACTGCCCGGCTACTGGCTGCCAATGGCCAAACTGTGAGGCTGAAGGCAGTGCAGGGGTGGCTGGTAAAGGATGTCCAGGGGCCACCAAGGGGAGCCCTCCAAAGCCAAAATATTGGGGTCACCCTGGAATCTCCTGAGATTAACAAAGATGCAGGATTAACAAATCACCATGCCACTGCCAAACTGCATGCACATGCATAAATAATGCAGACATACACACAGACTCATACAAGTTGCAGCAGTCATTAGTAATCAGCACAGTTAGCCCGTTACTCTACTGCAGGATGAGGATTGGAAGATTAACTTTGTGCCACTTTAGCTAACCCATTTTAACCTTCTAAACTCTCAAAAATCTGGCAGACATGAGCAGTCATCATGAGGAAAGAAACTGCTGAAATTCAGTTTATGTTGCCCTTCAAAAAAATTAAAAAAAAAAACAAGCACCCAAAGACTCAGAGACTGGTGTACCCTGTCATATTTTTTGTCAGCAACATTTTGGACCCAAACCCTTATCTTGTAACACAATTTTCTGTGAATGCAAATACCCAAGGCCTTTACTTTACGTGCTGTAATCTGTATATTGCTCTTAGGCTTCAATAGCTGATGCCAGAAGAGAAGACAGACACCACACTGCCAGAGCAGAGAAAGCTTCAGTAATCCACTCTAGGGAGATATGTAGGTCCTGGGAAGTCAGTGCAGGTACTAATTGCAGGACTGTGCCCTGCAGCAAAATGTTTGTTCTTTAAGACATTGTGTCAAAAGCCTGCAGGGTGGTAATAAATTACTCTAACTTGTAAATGTTGGAGCCCATCTTATAAAGTGTGGTAACCACATGGGCATAATTGGCTCCTGAGCATCCCCTTGCCTATGCACATAACTGTCTGAGTACTGCAGTATTGTACCAAAATATGAGAAGGTCACTAAGTGCATAAAAGACCTGCACCTCAACACCACGTTGTCTATTTCTTTGCTTGTAGCATGTGGCATCTCTCTGAGGCAGGACAGACAGTCCCATTTTTCCTGCGCTGCACAGGAAGCCAGAATGCCTCTCCCAGGTGCAATACTCACCCATAAGCTGAATATATTACTTACCTGGCCTTTGCTGCATTTGTCTTCAGGAGGATCTATCAATCAGCCCCTTCAGCTTGCTTTAGTTCATAGTTTAGATTGAAGAACAAGTTTCCAGACATGGGTCTAGATTTCTCCAGGCTCTGTAATTAAACAGGTAAACCACAGAAGAATAATCAAACAGCATGTCTAAGGGTATTGTTACAAGTTTGAAAAATAGTGCCCAGGAGAGATACAGAACAATAATTGTGATTACAGAATGTCAAAGAGATGCTTGTAAGGTCAGGATTTTTTTGCCGTGGAGGATAGAATTTATAACTGCGTTCTACAGGAAACCTGAGGGATGCAAAGATAGGACAGTATACCCACAGGGCTGTGAGACCCAGAGAAACAGGAAACCACTTGATCTTCATTTTTAACATTTATTGTCACATCACTGAATGTCCACTGCTCATTAGACATGAGTTACTAAATTAATTCAGAGCCCATGGACCAAATCTCACATGTAACTGCTTGCTAGCTTTTTCTGCAACCTGTCCTCTCTGGACAGCAGATGTGGTGAGTCTTTGAACAAGCACCAGACAATGCATAAAATATGGGTATAAAATTACCATCTTGAGCTCCTGTTTGGTGCCTGCCAAAGGTTTCTTATTGAGGTGCATCCCAGTGTTTGCTGGTTCCTTTGTTTTCTCTTTCTCTGTAGGTTGTTTGTATTCCCCACACATTGACTCTGTTTCTGAAGTAACCCATCACAGCTATCCATCTTGCATGTCATTAATGTTGTTGCCATTCAGGCAGCAAGACATGGGTATGGAATATAAAATGATCCTTGTCTCACGAGGAAACAGAAAATGAAAATTGGTCATTGTGTAAGTCTGGTGTTTTCAGTTCCAGGAATCATTCCCTATTGTCTGTTCAGAGGAAGTTGTCACATCTGTGCAGCTAGGGTACAGGATAGAAAAAATCTTTTATAAATGTCAAAGCTGCATAAAGGGTGACCCAAGAGTCACCCTTTAGGATTTCAGCTTTGTTTTCTAGCAATTACTGCCATTCTCAATACAATCATTTGCACTGACTCATGAAACAAAAGCACAACACAGATAAGGAAGTTGCCATGACTTGGGTTTTCAATTTGTATACAAAAGTCTACAGTCAAATATCTATAGCTTTCTCATGATTCAGTGTGAGCACTCCTAGCACAGCCTCCTGCAGATGCACCTCCTCTTTGTGGGGTTCCCAGTGACTTAACTGAGAATGGCTCATTGCTCCTGCTCCTGGAAACCAGGCAATTTCCTTTTCACCTAAGCTTCCTAGCCTCACGTCTCAGCTCAGATCATAGATCAGTTTGAGTCCCCCGAATACCAGATTTCTGCTCTTAGTATAAAATTGTTAAGGACAAATTCTTTAATTTAAACTTTGACTTTATTTGAGAGGAGCAGGGTACTGCCTTGTTATTAGTGTTTATAGGCATGTGAAGCCACACATGATATTAGGGTGCTGTTAAATCCTGTGGCCCAACAAAGGCAAGTCTATAACATCTCATACCATCAGATCCAGCCAGCAGTAAGGCTGAACTGGTGTTCCCAAAAGGTACACATGCACAGAGCACACAAACCTGCAACATACGTACATATATGCATACAAAAACTCAGCTGGCCACACAGACCTACACAAACAGAAAACACAGCACTCCAAAAGACACAGTATTATATTCTCACATTGACTCTGTCGCTGAAGTAATCCATCTTGCATGTCATTAATGTTGCCATTCAGGCAGCAAACATGGGCAGAAATATGAAATACAAAAATCCTCATCTCTCTAGGAAACAGCACCAACAGTGTCATTCTGCCTTTCCATCTGGTAGTTCAGGCTGAAGGTCCCTTACTGGGGAATACAGCCATGTAAAGTGGATCCCTCCAGCAGCTGGGCTTAAGACACTCAGTTCGCCCAGTAGCTGCCTCAGGATCTCACAAAAGCAAATGCACAGTCCTGCACCTGGGGAGGAATAACGCCATGCACCAATACACACTAGGGGATGATCGGCTGGAAAGCAGCTCTGCAGAGGAAGAGCTGGAGGTCTTTTAAGTTGTCCATGAGCTAGCAATGTGCACTTGTGGCCAAGCAGGCCAGTTACCTTGGGCTACATTAAGAAAAGCATTGCTAGCAGGTCAAGGGAGGTAATCCACCATCTCTATTCAGCCCTGGTGAGGCCTCACCTGGAGTTCTGGGCTCCCCAGTACAAGAGAGATATGAGGTTCCTGGAGCAAGTCCAGCAAAGGACTACTAGAATGATTAAAGGTCTGCAGCATCCCTTATATGAGGAAAGGCGGAGCGAGCTGGGTGTGCTCAGCCCAGAGGAGAGAAGGCTCAGGGGGAGATCTGATCAATGTATGTAAGTATCTGAAATGAGGGTGTCAAGATAACAGGGCCAGAGTCTTCTCAGTGGTGCCAGGCAATAAGACAAGAGGCAACTGGAATAAACTAAAGCACAAGAAGTTTCACACGAACATGAGGAAGAAATTCCTTACTGTGAGAGTAAGCATTGGAATAAACTTTGGAAGAGGTTGCTCAGGGAAGTTGTGGAGTCTCCTTCCCAGGATATATTCAGGTGTCATCTGGACACAATCCTGAACAATGTGCTCTATCTAGGTGACCCTGCTTGAGCAGGGAGGTTGTTTCCCACTCACTCCTTCCCAAACCACTTTGATTCTCCCTTTCTCCATCCTGCCCAGAACATTCCATAAGTCCCATGCAATCCTAAAACACCCTTCCCCTGCCCTCCATAGTGATCCCCATGCCCCTGGCAGTGATCCCATGGGCTGAGGCTCGCCAGGGCAGACCAGGGGATCAAGCTGGGGCTTGTGTCTGTGATGGGGTTATTGGTGTTCTTCCCATCCTTGTGCCTCAAGGGATGAGCCACTTGGGGGACAGGGGATGAGCCTTTGGGATGGCAACTGCTTTCTTTCGATGCCCAGGAGCAGCTTGTTGGGGTGTAATTGGGGTCCTCCCTCAGTGACCCTGGGGTGTTCTCTGTGCATGGAGATCAGCTTCTTACCTCAAAACCTAACACAAAAACTATTAAATAATTTGTCTGAGGCTATATATTTTCTGTGGACCAATTACTTCATTGAAAGCTTTGATGTTTAGGTGGTTTCAAAAACTTATCCTATTTTGAGTTTCCAAACTCTTGATTGAAAAAAAAATCTACATTTGAAAATGAAGAAATTCATTTAATGTACTCATTTCCTAAAATGTACTTTCATGTTGAAGTGGGTTTCTTTATAAAAATTCTATTCCAGGCGAAGTGTGTTTCCTGTGATACCACGAGTGTTTCTACCTACAGGGCTGATATGAAGTACATGGGTGACTGCAAACTTCACCTATGCATGAGCCCTCTAAAAGGCCAAACTAACTGTCTGGGAACAAGATGGCAAAAAAGAATACATTCTGATGTGTCTGAGCTTCTAAGTAAACCAGATTTTTATATTCTTCTATCCTCCTTTTAATAGGAAGTTATTCTTTTTATAATAATAAAATAGAACAGGGAGCTGCTAGCACAATTGTAATTTAGTTACAGAAAAAGCTTTATTACAATGATCCAGTGAAGAAAGCTTTTTGCTTAAATGGAAATACTGTGCTCCAAAGCTTTTATCATAGTACATAATGCTGTGAGAGAAAAGTAAAACACATTTTAGCCTTGCAAAGAAGAACAATTACGATGTGTGAATTCATCTTATAAAAGGTGATAGGCTCCCTATGGTCTGAGGATCTTAAGTGGCTTTGCTGAACAGCTAGGTTATTTTTAGAAACCAAGGTACATTATTTGTAATGTAAAGAATAATTCTGAAGAGATCCAAGACACATCTAAGCTACAGATAAGAAATCACAATTTGAGAAGGCAGTATGACTTTACAAAACAGTTGGTCTTAGGAACTTATTTAGCTAATGAAAAGTCCATAGCACAGATATAAAAACTAACATTGCTTTCTCATAGTTCACTTCTTCCTTTTTTTTGCTTTTTTTTGGGGGGGGTGGGGGAGGGAAGGGGGGCAGGAAGGGGGTTGTTGGTGTTTGTTTTTCTGGTTTTGGTTTGTTGGTTGGGTTTTTTGCTCTATTGGAAGTCCTTTCACTTTATGTTTTGATGCTGACAGTTTCTATAATTCCACAAGTTTAGTTTGTCATAATATTTAGGCAGAAAACTGATATAAGCTCCAAGAAGACCCTCAGTTTTTAAGCGCTATTTTCTCTGTTCTGATCTGTTCCTTGAATTTTTCTTGGTATTGTAGTTTTCTTTCACCTTTCTTACTATTTCTGAAATTACTACATGCAGCTTTTGGGAATACCATCCTCTTACCTTCTCTTTGGCTCAGGATTTTACTGTGAGCAGAATGGAGAGAAGAACTTACATGTGAAGACAAGAATTTTATAGTTAGCATAATCAATGTTTTAACAGGCTAAAATTCCAATTTATTAGCTTAGTAAGAACACTGTGGACTTATAACTCAAATTAATACAGATAAACTTCAATATCTGTTAAAGGTTTTATATAGAAAAACCTTCTCAGTATCTTCTCCTTCTCTTTGAAGTCATGCTCCCCTTGCAAGTCCTATTTTACATGCTAATACTGACAGTCACTCCCTGGGGATTCCAGCATCCTGGGGTATTTATGTTATGAAAGTTTAAGGATGTTTGAAAATTATTTCAACTTACCTTCATATCCTTTTGGTCTTAAAGTCGTGCATCCTCATCACAAATTCAATAAAGCCAGACTCAGAGGGAGCCATAAAACCTTCTGTAAATGATATGAAACACCTTTTGCTTCCACAAAATGTCATCTCTTAGTGTCCTTGTACTTAGGCTAGAAATGAAGAATGTGTGTATCTCATAGAAAAGTTGGAATCACTCCTACAATTTCATAAAGTTTCAATATTTATATACTGGCTATTACCATAGGGCTAAATTTCATCCATGTTGCATCTGAGACAAGAATATGCTCGAGGAGATAACAATACTATGGAAGAAGCCAACACTGCTGTCTTTCTTGCTACTTATTATTTTACACTGAGATGAAGATTTGTCACTACAGTTATGTAGTGACCACAACCTTTCTATTTGAGGCCTTTTACAAACACAGAATG